AATATACCATCTGGGGAGACATGTGCCTTTCGCTCTGAAACGTAATCTGCTTCCATTCAAGGCTTAAATGGCAAGTAACTTAACCCTTTAACTTCTCCCTGTTATCTCTTTGCTATGCTGTTTTCTATGTATATATATATATCCTAGTTACATCTTCTCTGTAAATATTTTTATTGCACCTGTTTGACCCTTTTAGTAATAAATCTTCCTTTCTGAAAGTGTTGAACTGTTTCTATAGCCCTTAATTGCAATTTACGAATTCCTGCCTTTTGAACGACGCTATTGTTGGTTTAAACCTCTGTATAACCGGCCTGCGGACCGTTTTATACAGACGATTATTTCAATCATTATAGTGTTATAACTGTATAATGCAAGTTTCCTCTTTCTCTGTACAAAAAGGAGGGTGGGTAGCAGTGTAAAAGGGGTTAATTGCGTAATTAACCTGACCCAGTAACAACCGCTCAGGTCGCAGGTACACAGATTGTAGTCCATTAGCTGGAAAATCTTTGTGCAGGGTGCGGCTTGGGGCGTGGTATTGTTACGCACATCACATCGCGGTTTGGATCGGCCAGTCCTTCGGTCACGAGTTTGGTGAGAAGGTCTGGGGTCTGATGCCGTGATCGTGACAGGGGGTGTTTAGCATAGTTTTTTTAAATATTTATTTTTTATACTGTCGCTTTCCATGTGACAGCAATAAAAGTGGGGAAAAAAAAGGAAAGTAAATATCCCTTGTGACAGCAATAGGCAGTGACACAGGTACTCTTTATGGAGAGATATGGGTCAGTGAGACCCCAGATCCCTTCTCTTCCCTTCCCAACAAAATTGGTGTGATCAAATACTTTCCATTTTTAAAAATGCTGCAGTTTTCATCTGGGGAAACTGGAAGTGATGTATTCCAGGCACTTCCTGTTTCCAATATTGGAGGTGGACAGAGCGGTTCTGGTCTTTGTCCGCCTGTATGATCAGCTAGCAGAAGTGACAGCTGGTTGATCAGGTGTCCCAGTGGAGAGAACTAGGGTTGTCACCTTTTCTTCAAGCCAAACTTGAACACTTTAGTGGCACAGGGCAATTTTTTATTTTTTTTGCTATTCTTTTTGACACTATACACTTTAGGACTGTAAAAGAGCTGGGACACCTTTGGGATGCTCCAAGGAGGGGGTGCCAGTAGGGCAGTGGCCAGTGCCAGTAGGACATTAAGCAGCCCATTCAAGTGAATGGGGGCTTCTTGCATTCATGTGCAATGCATACAGTTGGGGGCACTGCTTTGGGGGTTAAACAGGTGGTGAGGAGGTGACTTAACACCTCAGCCTGTCAAGTGCCCTGTGAAGAGCAATCTGAATGTGGATTGCTCTTCAGAGGGCACCATGTGTAAATGTGTCCTAAGGCACTTCAGCTATTCCAGTATTTTCTGTGCAATCAGCAGGGAACTGGGGACAGGAACAGGACTACTGCTGAGTATACTCTTGTCTGCTGCAATTACAAAAAAACTGCTCAGCTGGGTGCCAGGGGAAGGAAAAGGACTATTTAACCCCTGGGCTCAAGTGCTTACCTCTTGTAGTTCTCTGCACTGTTCAAGGTTTATGCAGCGGTTCCTGACCTCCACTAACACTTATGCAGCAATTCAGACAATTTAATTAGAGTCCCGACCGTCCGTTCACTGGTATACCACTCCACCAGGGTATGGAATTGCCGGGAACCGCAGCACAAGGATTACTCAGCTGGCGCCCGAAAAACCAAACTGAGCATGTGCAGCTTGTCCCCAAGGCTTTGTTCTATCAGTAGATAGGGGACATCAGAGAAGGGGAGGATCAGAGAAGACAGGATCAAACAGCCTTTTTACACAATGCGGAGGATTAACCCCTTAAGTTCCACAGTGATTACAATAACCATGCTTAAACTGCATACAGACTGATTTTACTGTTGTGGGTTTAGTAACGCTAAGTCAGCCATAGACGGATCAGCAGGGATCAGCTGAATTTCAATCCATTTATGGCCAGGCAGGTTGTGCTGAAGTCGATCTGTTGTCAATTTGTCTGTTTTTTTTCCGTGCGATCCCTGCTATTGGCTATAGCCATCACAGCAGTGATCAGTGTATTCTGACGGCTGGGAAACCTCCTGCTGTCAGAATGCAATAGCGCAGCGGGAGGGATTCCCCCCATCAACACTGACTGTGAGCGATCTTCTTTCTTTCAATCCATGGTTAAAGAAAATAAAATTGAATAATGTAAGACCAGCCTTAGTTGTCAGGTATGTGCATATTTATAAGTACAGGTAAAGAGCACTTTGCAATAGTTTCCAGCCTTTGCGTGGAAATTACTTGGTGTGTGCTTTCTTACATAGATTGGATGCAAGTCTCTGATTAGACTGTCCATAGGAAACTTGGTGTCAGATGGATGACAGGATATGGGTGAAATGGACCTGAACTCAGAAGGTTTATGCTGGCTATGTTGATTACAGTTCTGTAGCCTCATAGCTGTATATCTGCAGTGTGCTCTGCTGTCTCTGACAGCTAGTCTGAATAGATTAAGCCCTGGCTCACACTGATGCGGAGCGGAATTTGCAGCGTTTTCTGTGCGAATTCTGCACTGTATCAGAATCGCACCCCGCTCTTGCAAACCGCTGTGGATGTGTATGTTAAAAACACCCAGAAAGCGGTCTGCAAAAACGCGGTGCGATGTGCAGAATCGAATCGCATAGGTGTGAATACCCATGCGATCCGATTCTAGTGCGGACCCAAAAAATGGTCTTGCACCTTTTTGGTGCGGGTGCATTGGGATTAGAGCCATACAAACTGTATGGCTCCAATCGCACCAACACAAATCACATGTGATTTGCAGAGGACCATGTGTTCCTGTGTGAAGGCACATGCTATATACCGCGCCAGCATAATTTGAACCAGGCTAGAGTGTGAATTCCTACTACATGCAATTACCGCTCCTGCGCCAGGAGAGGAAAGCTGTACATGAAAACCCTGTGGTACAGGGACCTTCCTTGTAGTCTTTGCTTCATTCATTGCTGTGGATCTGAATTCCTCTACCTTATCCTGCAGCTACATGAATATTATCCCAGTCATTAGATCACCAGAAGCAGCACTGCAAACAGAACTTTTTGCCGGGATAATATAAATATAAAGTGCAGCGCTCTCCCTAAACTAATTTAAATAAATTTAAATAAAAGTGCACACTTGATTAAAAATGACTTTACATAATAACACAACTAACTCAACATATGTGCAAAAAATAGTGCATATACAAATAACGCTTAAACAAAAATTGTGATTTTCATGTGCTTAAAAGTGAGAATAAAGTGCAAAATTGAGAATAAAGTGCAATCAAAATCACTCAATCATCTATTAAAAATGTGATCAATCGATCTGAAATAAAATAAAGTGTCCAAATGCGATCCCTGTCAATCTTCATGCATGTGTCACACGTGTCCTGACACTGTGAATCCAAATTTAGGCCGTGGGAGGGATTCCCCCATCACCTCCTTGTCAAGGCGAAGCGATCTTCTTTCTTTCAAGACGATTTTAAACAATTTTTTCTACATATCTATTGATTGAATAAACAGGATTACACTATGTGAGTTTTTGTTTGCATATAAACCGAGGAGATCTCTGTTAGAGTGTAAGAGGCGGGGAAGGTCTGGTAAGTCATCTAAAGGGTGTCCTGTTGTTGAGCGAGCTGACCCTAGTGGGGTCTTGACAAGGAGGTGAGGAGCCATCATGGCCAAAAGTTTGGATTCTGGCACAGTGATGGACACTGTGACACATAGCATGAAGATTGATAGTTTTTTTGACGCATTTGGACACTTTAATTTTATTTCATTGAGATTGATCATCTTTTTTAATTCTGATATACAAATATGCGCTAAACAAATTGTGGAAATCATGTGCTTAAAAACACCCGAAAAAGTCCGCAAAACGAGGTAAAGTGTGCAAAATCACTCCAATCATCTATTAAAAATGATGATCAATGCTCAAATGAATTGAAGTGATTTTGATTGCACTTTATTCTCAATTTTGCCTTACTCACTTTTATGCACATGATTTGCACAATTTTTGTTTATGCGCATATTTGTATATGCACTATTTTTGCACATATGTTATTATTTTTTTTTTAGCGAATGAGTTAGTTGTGTTATTATGTAAAGTATTTTTAATCCCGCTTTATTTAAGGATTTATTTACATTTATTTAAATTAGTTTAGGGAGAGCGCTTCCTGCTTTCCTTTATATTTATATTTATTCACTCTATTTTGGTGAAGGAGTTTGGTGTCCCAGCTGCTTGGTGATTAGGGTCCCATCTTAGCGCAGGAAGTTCTCGCACTGCAAACAGAAAGCTTTGCCTCTACCAAGATGGTTTTTTCCACAGATGCAATGTGGAACAAGGATTGGCAAATCAATAATGAGGAAATGATCAGTTGCAGAGAATCTATAAGGCAATATGGGTAGCTAGTCCTTCCTTCTCTCATTATGTTTTGGGCACAGCTTCCACAGTACAGGTCCTCTTTAAAAATCATAGTCTTAATTTAACTGGTAAGTAACCTGTTTCCTGACTCCTAGGTCTAAAATTGATAATGAAAACCTAAAATATGTTATTACGTTTGGTAACTGTGCTTCTTTACTTGTGACTCAGTTTTTGTTTAGCTGGTGTCAAGCTAAATCCTTGTTCTTTGTGTCCTCATTTAGCACTGAATTTAAACTGAGTAACCCAGGTTCTGAGCACCGTTCCTTTTAGTGAGGGAGGTTGCACTATGTGCAGGTATATGACAGGAGGCTGCAGACAGTCCCAGAAGCACTTTAAAAAAAACTTGCTGAATTTGGTTGCAAAGGATTGTACAGGTTTCTACCTTTAGTACATTGTAAATAGACCTGTATTGCGTTGATAGTTGTCAGATTGTACCTGCTGCCTGGAGTTGTAGTGTAAAGGCTAATTTACAGTGTTTGGTAGTTCTCCGCTAGTCGAAGTTTTGCTAAATGCTTCAGTTCTTGTTTTGTAGGGCATCATAGCTGAAGAGAACAAGAGCCTGCTCCCCAAAGATGAAGAAGACCCAGGCAAGTTTAAAGAGGCGGAGCTAAAAATGCGGAAACAGTTTGGTATGCCGGAGGTGGAAAAACTGGTGAATTATTACTCCTGCAGTTACTGGAAGGGACGCGTCCCCAGGCAAGGCTGGCTGTATCTAACTGTCAATCATCTCTGCTTTTACTCATTTTTACTAGGGAAAGAAGGTGAGAAACAATTTTCCTTTATTTACTACATTTATTAATATTTACAGTAACTGATCCAGGATCATGTGACATGTTGCTCTGATTGGCTGATGCTGTCTTTTATCAGAGAACATGTGACAAAATGCCTAAACTTTTAAATATGCGACCAGCACATGGGCCATTTCCAACCTTTCTATTATGATGCATCCATCCTAACAAGACCTGTAAGTTAACATTTGAATATAGGTTCACCTTAAAAATGTAATTCAAACACTAAAATGTTGCCTTGCAGAAGGGATGGTTCAGAAGACACAACCTTTAATTTAAAAATAATAAGTAGCTTGGTGAGAGGTGGCACAGGATCATAGGCTTAATCTAGATGTAGATAAGTTAAGATTGTTTTAGGTGCCTGTGATATACTTGGGTACCTAAAATTATAAATTAAAGAACTTCTGAATTGTTAATTATTTTTAAATAATTGGACACTTAAAAGAATTTCTTATTTGTGGCCTTTAAGACGGGGAGTATTTGAGACCCCTGAAAAGCATTCACGCTAAAATAACTTTCCATTCTTGTCTGTTGAGTGACACAGGATGTCCTTAACGTTTGGGGTATATTGCTGCATGCAAGAGGATTGGACACTGGCAAACAAAAACAACTGTAGGTCAGTCCAGGATAACCCTTTCCGCTACCAGCATGTCTTTATCCTCTAAGTGTCCTAGGAGAATGAACTTCTCTATAATAAAAGTTAACTGCGGAACACTTTCCAGGCACAGATCCCCTGGCATTGCCTTTGCAACCGCCTTTTCTCTGAAGACTCGTTTAGTGCATAGGCCAGTCAGGCCAAGCACTGGGAGCTTACCTTATTTGCATAGGTCCAATATTTCACATGCCACTCCAGCTGAGATCAGGCTTCACACTCCACAGTCACATCTCAGGTGTTGGCCCAGCTTGTATCCACTGAGGAAAACAATTGTACCAGGTTCAGGAATATTTCATTCTGAGATGCAAAATAATATTCTTCCTTTATTAACCACTTGCTGACCGCAGATAGCCAAATGACGGCTTCACTACAGCCGGCCAGTTCTGGGAGGTAGTCATATGACATCCTCCCACATGCCCCCGGCGATCTCCGAGATCACGTGATGTGGTAAACGGCCAATCACAGCGGTATTTTACCACGTGATCAGCTGTGTCCATTGACACAGCAGATCACTGGTAAATGCAGTTACAGGTTATCACGCTGTCACAGCGTAAGGAAAGTACTACCGATAACTGGCAATTGTCAGAGAATGGATCGGCACTGATCATCAGGGCACTGATGATCAGTGCCCAGCAGTGCCGCCCACCTGTGCCACCCATCAATGCCTCCCAGCAGTGCCACCCAGCAGTGCCGCCTATCAGTGCCCAACATTGCATATCAGTGCCAACTCATCAGTGCCAACTTCAGTTGCATATCAGTGCCCATCATCATTGTTGAATATCAGTGCCCGTCAGTGCTTCCTATCAGTGCAGCCTCATCAACTCACCTCAATGAAGGAGAAAAATTACCTGTTTGCAAAATTTTATAATAGAAACAAAGAAAAACGTTTTTTGGTTTTTTTTTAAAAATTTGTGCTTTTTTTTTTTTTGTTTACAGCGTAAAAAAATAAAACACCCAGCGGCGAGTACATACCACCAAAAGAAATCTCTATTTTTGTGAAAACAAATATACAAATTTCATATGGGTACAGTGTTGCATGACCGCGCAATTGTCATTCAAAATGCAACAGCGCTGAAAGCTGGAAATTGGCCTGGGCACGAAGGGGCTATAAGTGCCTGGTAGGCAAGTGGTTAAAATAGTCAGCAGGAACAGGTGCTGTTCTGACATGTTTCATGGTGCTTTCGCATAGGTTGCTAGGCACCATTATTTCTTTTTTCCTGAAGGCTTTAACACTGTGGGACTGAGTACTGAGGTCATCCACTGGGTGGATCCGGGCTCTCTTTCCTGCCATACTGAGTTGAAGAATCATGTGTTTCTCAGATTTGCAAGGCTGCCACCTGGTCTTCTGTTCACACAATCTCTAAGTTCTAAACTGATTCATGCCGTTTTGGGAGCGGTTATCCTAAGCTTGCCTACAGTTTTTGTTTTGGAGGGTTTGTTTTTTAGGGGGGGGAGGTTTTGGCCGGTGTCCAATCCTCCTGTGCAGTTGTGCAGCATAATTTCAAGTTTAAAGACTCCCTTTGTCCCTTTATGCAGTCCAAAAAAAAAGGTGTTTATGGTGAGTACATAAATCATTATGGCTTTGGCACTCCACATTTCCCTCAATTTCCAGTCTTCACTTTGGCACTTATTTTTTTCACTTTGCAGCTCGTTCAGCCAAACCCCCTTTGGATGCTTGTGTCTCTTCTAACAAGTCCTAAGTCTAGGCATATAGAACTGTTACCAGTATGCTCCTCTATTCCTACGCTACCTGCTCTCTGTTGCCTAGAATAAAATGAACCACACACATGTACTATGTCCTTTAGACCATTTGTTTTTTTCCCTAGGGCAGGGATCTGCAAGTTTTTGGATAAAGAGCCACTTGGGGAGTTTCCGAGAGGGAAAAAAGACTGGGAGCCGCAAAAATGCCATTTCAAATTATTTAAAACAAATACACTGCATGATATTGAAAAAGCGCTAAATGGTCCCCATGAAGGGGGTTTAAGGGATCTACCAGTAAGCACAATTACGTTAAGTAAGGCAGATTCACAGTGTATATCATTTAACAATCATATTGCCTTAGGGCAGTGGTGGGCAACCTTTTTTAATAAATGTGCCAAATTCGCTTAAACTAGGATTGAAATTTTAAGACACAGAATACATTTTTATATCCTATCTGAAAAGTTCAAACTATGCAGTTTCAAGCCCCCTGCAATTCTGTTTAGTGATTTCTACAAGGATTTATATTCCTTGTACAATGATACAGTAATTCAGGCCCCCATATAGTCATTTATCATATAGTACTTCATCCCCCATATAGTAATTCATCACCCATATAGTAATTCATCCCCATAGTAATTCATCCCCATATAGTAATTCATCCCCCATAGTAATTCATCCCCCATAGTAATTCATCCCCCCATATAGTAATTCATCCCCCATATAGTAATTCATCCCCCATAGTAATTTTCATCCCCATAGTAATTCATCCCCCAAGTAATTCATGCTCCCTATAGTCTTTCATGCTCTTTCCTATAGTAATTCATCCCCCCTATAGTAGATTTCCCCCCTAAGTCTCCCCCATATAGTAATTCATCCCCCATATAGTAAAATATCATTCCTCATATAGTAACTTCATCCCTCATCTGAGTATTTAACCCCATAGTAGGCATCCCCCATAGTAATTCCTTCCCCCATAGTAATTCAGCGCCCTCATAGTAATTCATGCCCCCTATAACAATTTGCCCCCTATAGCAACATCATACCCCATAAGTAATTCATCCCCCCATATTTTTTCATTCACACAAATAGTCATTCATCCCCCATATAGTCATTCATCCCCCATAGTTGTAAAAAATCCCCCATAGTAATTCATCCCCCATTAGTAATTCATCCCCCATATAGTAATTCATCCCCCCTATAGTAATTCATTCCCCCATATTGTGTCAAATCACTTACCTTTGCTCCGCGCGTTCTTCTCGCTGTGTTCCCGCGCTGTTCTGGTTTCAGGGCGGACTGTGAGAGGAGTTTGTCACGCTGCCCCGCCTACATTTATGATTAGCCAATGTTTGCCAGCGTCAGCTGCGTTATGCAACAATGCATTAAAAGATCTCGGAATTGCCGACCCTAGGTTGCCTGCATTCAAAATGGGCATTGTTTTCCGCAGGAAAGGTAAAAAGAGCCACATCAACTCCGGACCGCGGGTTGCCAACACCTATCCTAGGGGATAATAGTTTTTGGATTGGGCACCCATCTTTGGGGTAGTTCTTTAAAGTATTTAAACCACACATTTTTTTTAATGCCCATTCATTGAAAATTATGGTTAAAAGGACAAAAATACTTTGATCTTGAAACAGCTCATAAATGTTCCCCATCGGCCTCTCTTTCTTTCAGCTGGATCTACCACCACATCACAATTACGTGAACTACATGCAGATTCAGTGATATCATTTAACAATAAATTGGTATTACATTGGTATAAATTTGGTAATAATGTGGACATTCCTTAGCTAGGATTTTACATTTTAAGACACAGAATACTTTCATATCCTATCTTAAAAGTTCAAACTATGCAGTTTCAAGCCCTTCTGCAATCTGTTTAGTGATTTCTACAAGAATTTATCATCCTTGTACAATGATACAGAAGGGTCTCAGGCATACCAAATGGCATTTATCATCATGCAGCTACTTCCCTAACATTTCTAGATGAAACACACTAGATCATGTTTAGAATTACTTTACTGAAGAGGAGTTAGTTACTGCAGTTAAACTCGCTTCAACTGGTAAGAGATGCTAAGCCATATGGGTTGATGTGTCCCAAATTTTATAGAAAGCAGCATCCTCTTTCTCTCAATTCTGGCATAAGTCTTTAATTCATTATCCAGGGCTCTAGATTTCCAGCAAAGTCTCCTGAGGCACAAGTTACGTTAATTCCAAAAAGGAAAGGATCATTCAGTCTGTGCTAACTTTCGCTAATCTGAGAATTTATAACTTCAATAGCAGGCACTTACACTTCCTTCCTTTCAGCGCTCTCACACATTGAATAACAGTAGCCCGGTCATGCAACACTGTACCTAAATTAAATTTTTTTAATTTTTTCCACCTTTTTTTGGTGGTTTTTCATCACCTCTGGGTTTTTTTGCAAAGTAATTGAAAAAAAGGGACCAAAAATTAGATTTCTTTGTTTCTGTTATGAAAGCTTGCAAATAAACGTTTTCCATAAATTTAGGCCAAAATGTATTCTGGTACATTTCTTTGGTGAAAAGAAATTCTGGTACATTTCTTTGGTTTTTTTCAAAATTTTTTTTTTGTTTTTTTAAAGGGGTTTAGTAAAAACTGGGACTTGTCAAGGATGCATTATCCCTTCTATTTTATATTATAATTATGGAACACTTGTCAGTTGCGTTATGCAACAATTCCAACATCTCTGAATTCAACTAGGCTTTCTGCATTCAAAATAATTTTTTTCGCAGACAATTGCTTACTTTTACCTCAAGGACAAACATTTCCATGTATGTCACCGAGCAGCTATCCTACAGTAACTTTAGTGATTTAGCCAATCTAGAAACTTCAAAGTAAATTTACCAAAATCCATTTAAGTTCAAGAGCCCTGGTCATCATAAAATTCCTAGGAATAGGTTTTCTTTCTCCAATCTCTCATTTTGAGCAAGACTCAGCTTGATATAAATCTTATTTTACTAAACATCTATCTTGGATGGGCCAAGATACATGTTTTTAAATTGGATGTTATTCCTTAGTCCTTTACATATTTCATAGGTTCTTTTAAAAATCCTACTTGCAAAAGCCCAATCCAATGTTTTCCATTTTTGTTGGCATAAAGGCATCCTAGACTTTGGTATAGGTTGTGCGCTTACGTTGCCCAAGATGCAAGCAGGACCTGGAGCTCCCCGTGTCCCTTTATCAGAAAAGCAGCAGTTGTTTTTTGAATTCTTGATTGATCTAGAATTTTTCCATGCAACAGTGGGTCCATCTTGAAAATCGTATGACACTCATAGATATCCTGAGCTTACCAGTATTTTCTCCTCTCTGAACCACCACAGGATGTCACCCCAACATCACAAAATCAAAAGAGTTTCTCTGTGGGACCTGACTGTTACAATCTTGTGGATCTCACAAAAGTTTTTGTTTTTATGACACTTTTTTGGGAAAACTTTCCTGCCTGCCTTACAGGGTAACACTTTGGGTCCTTTGAACAAAAAGGGATTATCGCAAAAGAATATCTCAACTCTTACGCGCTTCCCCTTGTCACCAGGCCCCATGGGTTTGTAAGCAATCAACTTTCTCATTTGTTCATGCTATCCCAGATATTTCTGAATGTCAGTCCTCCCTAACAGCTTTTGATGAATTGGTTAAACAGAACACTCCTCCATTCTATGCTGTATTTCAAGTATATTCAATTATTTCCTCACCTCTGGCTCATCCAGATTTACCCAAATATACAGACAAATGTTTTATACTTGCCGACAAATTATCAATAGCCACCAGAGTTCAGGAAAAGGTATATAAATTAAACACCAGATGGTATAGATATTCAGATCTCTAATTCATTATCTGTCCAGTTGTCTCTGATATCTGTTGTCACAATATGATACACATGGTGGGAGTGCCCTCCGATGAACACATTTTGAAAAAGCATTGATATATACGCTAAGATCACAATGACACAAATGTTCAAAGATAGCAATATTATCGTATAAACAAGGCCCTCTTAAAACAATCAAAAAGGTATTATTTGCTATCTCAGCTGCAAGAGTAGTGATTCCTTGCCATTAGAAATCCGTTCCATCCTGTAACAGAAAAGGCAGTTTTTTAATCATACAGTGTTAGAATCGCAAGGGTTATCACTATGTTTAAAACATAATAAGCTTTTTGGGGTAATGTGGATTTTGGCGATGTTGCGGAGGTGGACTCTGCACGGGCTGGGGGGAAGATGAGAAAGTCGGTTTTGGAGAGGTTCAGTTTGGGGAGGTGGAGCGACGTCCAGTCTGATGTGTCGCTCGGTGGGTGTGTGATTCGGGCAGAGACTGGTGGGGTGGGGGGTTGAGAGGGGTTGGGCTCCATTTCCTCCACCCCCCTCTTCCAATCCTCCACTGGCTTCCAATTGCGCAAGTCAAATTCAAAATTTCCTAACACTGACGTACAAGCTGTTACCCACCATACTGCAAATGTTTTATACTACATCACGACAAAATATCAAGTACCGCCAGCACGCAAAAGCTCCTCAAATTAAACACCAGATCCTTCTCTCTAGTTCCCTGGTCTCCTCCTCCCATGCCCTGCCTCCAGGACTTCTCCAGGGTGTCACCCATCCTCTGGAACTCCCTGCCCCAACCCTCAGATTATCACCTACTTCCTCTCCTTTAGGCGCACCCTGAAAACCCATCTCTTCCGGGAAGCACTACTCCACACCTGCTAACTTTCACCGACCAGATAGCCATATTTCTATAATACAACTCCATCCCCCACACTATCTCCTCCTGTACCACTATCCCCTCCCTCCTAGATTGTAAGCTCGAAAGAGCAGGGCCCTCAATCCCCTCATGTTTTGCATTGCATTGGTATTCCGTTCCATCCTTAACATGTTCTGTCCCCCTTTTTTGTATACAGCGCTGAGTGAACTTTGGTGCTTTATTAAATACTATGTATAATAATATTAATAAGCTCTTGTACAGCTTACTGTTAAAAATAATGTAACATAACAGTTTATTATGCCTAAATTTATCGTTAAGGGTATAGCCAAGATGTTAACGCTTAAAGTTGTATATTACTATGTATAATTATTTTCTTGATTTCTTTTGATCGATCATTTGTTTTTGAAATCAAACAAATTAAGACTGAACATAGTATTTTTCCATTGATAACTAACTTCCTTCTATTTTTTAGTAACTTTGGTTATCCAGTGGCTTGATGTGACTCAGCTTGAGAAGAATGCAACTCTGCTTTTCCCAGAATGCATCAAAGTCAGCACACGCGACAATGAGTACTTTTTCTCTATGTTCCTTAACATCAGTGAAACCTTCAAGTTGATGGAACAGCTAGCTAACATTGCCATGAGACAACTGTTAGACAATGAAGGCTTCCTGGAAGACCGGAATCTGCCTAAACCTACACGACCACTCAAGAACATCTCTGCTCTGAAAAGGTATGAAAAAGTCAAGACCTACAGTACTGTGCAAATGTTTGGGGCAGGTGTGAATGCTATAAATTAAGAATGCAATCAGAAATAAGTGTTATTAGTTTTTTTTGTCAGTTAACAAAATGGAAAATAAATGACCGGAAGAGAAATACAAATCAAATCCATATTTACTGTGACTACCTTTCAAAACAGCATCAATTTTTTTTAGGTATACTTGCACAAAAGTTTTGAAGCAACTTGGCTGGTAGGATGTTCCAAACATCTTGGAGAAATAACCACAGATCTTCTTTGAATGTAGACTGTCTCAAATCCTTCTGTCTCCTAATGTAATCCCACACCGACTCGATGATGTTAAGATCAGGGCTGTGGAGTGAGTCATCACCTCCAGGACTCCTTGTTCTTTACACTGAAGACATTGCTTCATGTCTGGGGTCATTGTCCTGCTGCAGAATAAATTTGCGACCAATCACATGCCTCCCTAATACTGTGGCGTTATTGTTGAGTATCTGCCTGTATTTCTCAGCATTGAGGACACCATTTATCCTGACCAGATCTCCAACTGCATTTGTATAAACACAGCCACAGACTTGCAAGGAACCTCCACCATGTTTCACTGTTGCCTGAAGACACTCATTAATGTACCACTTTCCAGCCCTTCGGCAAACAAACTGCTTCCTGGTAATGTCAGACATTTCAAATTTTGACTCATAATTCTAGAACACCTGCTGCAATTTTTATGCACCCCAGTTCCTATATTTTTGTGCATAGGACATGGAAAAAAGGTTAAATGAATCAACAGTTTTGCACATTTTCCTGTTTTGATAATCCCACAGGAGCTATCAAGAATATTTAAATATAAAAATTAATTCAAATGCACCTTTCAGTAACTTGCAAGTCTGTCAGGAATTTAGAATTTAGCTTTCTTCCATTTCTGTCATGTCCCGATATACAGCAATATGATTTGTCAAAGTTATTATTTTATCAACAGCATCCTGTCGGCACTGTACACTGAGCTGCGCACATGCAGGTCAGTGTACAATTCTGGCATCTGCTGAGATAAAAGAACTCCCGCACATACGTGGGAGTAACATCATCTTGACCCAGCCAATTTCTGGAGTGGAGGCGAGTCCCACTTCAAGCCCCAGTGTAGTTTTTTGCCTAGAGATGATGTCATTGGTGTGCTGCAAGCAGGAAGAAGTTTAGGTCTCAATCACACCTGCTTATGGGGCTGACTACGATTTCATGGCAAAGGCTTAGCAGCGTTTCCAGTGAACAGCTGCGAATGAAAAGCCCTATTCAGAGAAATTAGAGGCTGCAAGCTGTTCGTATATAATCGAACATGCAGCGATTACCTGTGAATGATCGGTGCTGGCCACTGTTTGCTCCCAGAACGGATCATCCACACGCATCTTTGATTAAATGCAAGCAGCTGTGAATGGTTGTGGGCACTGTGAGATTCTTATTGCTCTACATGGGGCTTCCCACCCACAGCTGTTTACAGGAAACCCCGCTGAGTTCCCTGCAAGAAATCATAGTAGGCCCCAAAGGCAGGTGTAAATAAGACATTACTCAGTGTCAGTTCCCATATATGCAGATTGGATGCTGTTTGAACCTCTTCCCCAATAATCAGACCTCAGCATTGTATCTTTGTAGCACAAGGTGAGAAGGTGCAGCGGGAGTTGATCTGAGTCGGATAATTGTAAATACTGCCAGAATGTACATACCTTTTGACATCCCTCAGCAAGAAGCACTGTAGGGAGGTTTGGCTATGGCTGTGATGTTACTGTGACTGTGAAGTTAATCTACTTGATATCTGACTCATGTTGGCTGTACACATAGCAGACATGATGCCATCATTCAACTTTCAAGCACAAGTATTTTGTGGTTTGAAGCAAGCAGTGTGGAAATCAACTGAAATTGGCTTTGGTTGACAGTGCGGTAATGTCAGTCCATTTCCACCTTATGTTTGTCACTCGTTGCTGGAAACTAAGTAAAAGAGATCTGAAAGCAACCAAATCAGAACATAATGTGTGACACAGTGTATGAGATAATCACAGTTCTTTTACACATAACTCTAGGTACTTAAACTGTGTCAGGGAAGTAGTGTTATAACTCCAGTTAGCACCTCCGTGGTACTGAGGCTCATCCAAGCTAGAGGAGGTCTGGCCACCAGCCAATTTGTTGGTAAAAACAATATGAAGTTGGGCATTAAAGCTGAACTCCATGCAAACAGCTAATTACACTAAAAAAATGTATGAAAGGGGATTGTTTTACCTGCCAAAAGACATTTTTTGGTTTATCCAATTCTGACGTTTTCATAGCTCTTTCACACAGCACAGGCCTGTCTGGCAGAACAGGAAACTTGATTTTCTTCTGCTGAAGTTAACATTTACAGGTATCCACTTCATTCTCCAGCCTGTAACTGGACAGTGAAAGGAAAAGCAGCAAATTGGTTAACTCCTCTCTCTGTTACTCAGATGTCTGCTCCTATCAGAGTGCTCATGGCACTGCAGCATATAGTAACTAATTGGCTCCTTATGCTGCTTCTCCCTCCCCAGTTCTAAACTATACTGCTGACTTCAAGAGACTGCTTTTAATAAATTACATAGCTATAAGTTATAACTTTCCTTTGTCTACTCAATGCTTCAGCTGTCTGTGTTTGTACCCAAATAATGTCTGTCAGAGAAGTAATAAAACAGATTTAGGTTTATTACTGTACAGCAGCTGTGATTTGATATTATGTGAGCTGTGCAACTGGTGTCTGCAGCTGAGCAGCTAATATTTACTATTACATATTTAGACTTGTATGAGAAAAATAATTTACCAGAAATCCAGAAACATACACTATATTGCCAAAAGTATTGGAACACCCCTCCAAATCATTGGATTCAGGTGTTCCAATCACCTCCATGGCCACAGGTGTATACAATCAAGCACCTAAGCATACAAACTGCGTCTACAAACATTTGTGAAAGAATGGGTCGCTCTCAGGAGCTCAGTGGATTCAAGCGTGGTATCGTGATAGATTGCCACCTGTGCATCCGTGAAATTTCCTTGCTACTAAATATTCCAGGTCAACTGTTAGTGGTATTTAACGAAGTGGAAGCAACTGGGAACAACAGCAACTGAGCCACAAAGTGGTAGGTCATATAAAATGACAGAGTGGGGTCAGCGCATGCTGAAACGCACAGTGCGCAGAAGTCGCCAACTGTCTGCAGAGCCAGTAGCTAAAGAACTCCAAACTTTGTGTGGCCTTCAGATTAGCACAAGAACAGTGCGTAGAGAGCTTCATGTAATCGGTTTCCATGGCTGAGCAGCTGCATCCAAGCCTTAGTGCACTGCAAAGCGTGTTGGATGCAGTGGGGTAAAGCACACTGCTACTGGACTCTAGAGTAGTGGAGATCTGTTCTTTATATTGACAAATCGCGCTTCTTTGTCTGGCAATCCAATGGATGTGTCTGGGTTTGGCGGTTGCCAGGAGAACGATACTTGCCTGACTGCATTGTGCCAAGTGTAAAGTAGGGCTGCATAGTGGCTAAATGGTTAGCACTTCCCACCTGGCAGTACTAGGGTCGTTGGTTCAAATCCCAGCCACAGCACCTCCTGCCTGGAGTTTGTATGTTCTCCCTGTGCCTGCATGGGTTTCCTCCGGGTACTTCGGTTTCCTCCCACACTCCAAAAGACATGCTGGTAGGTTAATTGGATCCTGTCTAAATTGGCCCTAATATGTGTATGTATGAATGTAAGTTAGGGACTTTAGATTGAACACCCCTTGAGGGTTAGGGACTGATGTGAATGTACAATATATATGTATAAAGCGCTGCGTAAATTGACGGCGCTATATAAGTACCTGAAATAAAAAGTTTGGTGGTGGGTGGATTATGGTGTGGGGTTATTTTTCAGGGGTTGGGCTTGGCCCCTTAGTTCCAGTGAAGGGAACTTTTAAGGTGTCAGCATACCAAGACATTTTGGAAAATTTTATGCTCCTAACTTTGTGGGAATAGTTTGGGGATGGCCCTTCCTGTTCCAACATGACTGCGCTCCAGTGCACAAACAAGGTCCATAAAGACATGGATGAGCGAGTTTGGGGTGGAGGAACTTGACAGGCCTGCACAGAGTCCTGAACTCAACCCACAGAACACCTTTGGGATTAATTAGAGCAGAGACTGCGCTTCTGGAAGAATGGTCAAACATTCCCATAGACACACTCCTAAACCTTGTGGACAGCCTTCCCAGAAGAGTTGAAGCTGTTATAGCTGCAAAGGGTGGGACAACGCAGTATCAAACCCTATGGACTTTGACTGGAATGCCATTAAAGTTCATGTGCGTGTAAAGGCAGGCGTCCCAATACTTTAGCAATGTAATGTATTTTTTTTTCTTTTAAACCAGACATGCATATATGGATAATGATATATTATGTACTATATTCTGGATAATAAAGTCACTTTACATAAAACCAGCATTTTTCTAATCTACCTGATGTATTTGAATACATTTTTCAAGCCACACTTTATTTCGCTGACTTTTCCTCATCTATTATCTTTCCTCTATCTTGAATATCTTTCTAATGTCTTGTTTTCTTCTCAGAGATTTAGACGCCAGAGCAAAGAATGAACAATACCGATCCACTTTCCGACTGCCAAGGGATGAGAGGCTGGATGGACACACAGACTGCACTTTGTGGACACCCTTTGCCAAGATGCACATCCCTGGTCAAATGTTTGTGTCCAATAACTACATATGTTTTGCTAGCAAGGAGGAGGAAGCTTGCCATCTAATAATACCACTCCGTGAGGTTAGTTTGAGATTGTGACCAATGATCCTTCTGTTTCAGCTTCTAATATGGGAGATGGCAGTCACCAAGAACAGAAATCTACATTAGTAGGCAGAAAAACTATCAGACCATATATAATTGTCCAGTCAACAGACAGGGTTTGTGCTAAAGCTTCAGTGGGATTTGTGAATATGTCTATGCTGCCTAGACCATAAGTCTGATTGAACAAAATAAAAAATCCATGGCAGATAAAACATATCCCATGTAAATGGCAAGTATTTATTAAGGGCTCATGCACATGGGTGCTTTTGACATACAATTTTAAATTGCGTCCGTTTTTTCTGCTTCTGTGATACATGACTGCCTGCCAGCCAAAAGTTATTACGCAGGTTCACACCACTGCTTGTGTAAACTTGTGCATGTGTAAAGCTGTATGCCCCTGAATTCAGGATATCTTCATCTGAATGCAAGTAGTGGTGTTACCCGTGTACAGTCACTTAACTGTGGTAAGCTGTATGCCAAAGCTTTGTATCCCAGGAGCAGAAGTACAATCGCAATTTACATCGTATGTCACAAAGCGCTTCCTTTGCATGAGTTGTTTGCCCGGAATTCGGCTGTAAACAAAAATAAAGAAAGCTTTGCACTCATTATAGATAGGACCCCCTTCATTTTATATCTCCAGCCACTCAATTCTACACCAGGGGTCTCCAAACTTTCTTAACAACGACCAGTTTACTCTCCTTCGGACTTTAGGGGGACTGGGCTGTGGTCAGTGGGAGTAAACTATCTCAGGGTTGCTGGCCATTGGGAGTAAATAAAATTATATAGCTCCTGAAGTCAGTAGGAAAAGAACAGTGCCCCGCCATTGGTATTGGAGGAATAGTGCCCCATCATTGATGTCAGTGCGAGGAATAGTGCCCATATCCGTTATATCAGTGGAAGGAATTATGCCCCGTTGCTGGTGTCAATGGAATAGTGCCCCATCATTGGTGTCAGTGGGAGGAATAGTTCCCTGCTGTGTGTGTCTCTCGGAGGAATGGTAAGTCATTATTAGTGTCACTGGGAGGAATAGTGCCTTGTATCAGTAGGAGGAACCGTGTCATAAAGTCCGCATACAGGAAAGCAACGGGCCGCAGTTTGTAGACCACTGGTCTGCACCATTCCTTAGGTAAATGTGGAATAACATTAATATAAGGACACTGATTAGTTTCTTTACAATTGTATTTTTGAAAAACATTTTATTGGGGGTTTCAATACATTTTCTTTTGTTCATCTGATTTGATTCTACACTTTGGGGGGGGGGGGGGAGTGATGTTGTATACGATAGTAGTACAGCTTTTTGTGTTTGAAGATAGTTGACCTAAAAAACAGACTTGATCAGTGCTTGAAAAGGTGAAGGGCAGCTGTAAGGATTGGAGCTGCATGTAGTTTACTGTGAAACGCCAAACACTGCTAGATCAACAAAAAGGAATTTTAATCATCTCATGTTTGGCAAGGAAGCAATATCCTGAAGTTATTTACATTTGTATCCTTAGTTGTGCTTAGTCTGCAGAATTTGTAAGTAATGAAAAATGTGTTAGACTAGAATATAGCAATATAGACATTTATTTACTGTGACTTTCTTAGATCGCCTTTGTTTTCTCTTAGGAAGAATTTTTCTATTCTAATTTATTTTGAGAAATTTAGTTTTATTCAGGCATTCAGCTTTTTACTATAGTTTTGCAATAATCAAGTACCGAAAATGATTTTTTTTTTCTCGTGGCAGCGTTTACTAAAGTAAAGCATATATCATCAGTGGTACTTTTGGTCATTGAAAATGTTAGTATTAGTAACTTGAGGTTCTGAGAGCCAGATGGCAAAATTATAGCTCTTTCTGCAGACTGATGTTTGCTGGGAATCTGTGAGAAGACAAGGTGACTTTAGTGATAGCTGTCTGTACTTGGCTTGGCAGACAGTAAAGAGTGTGAATGTATTGTAAAATTTCAGCAAAATCCTGAGTGGGATAGAGTAATGCCCAGTGCAAACTAGGATTTTTTTTTTCATTCAACCCAGTGGGGTTCACAATGGTGTCTCTGTACTAACTATACGATGTTGGTACAGCAATCTCCCTGCTGCGGTACGGCGACACTGGGTATTGTGGGACTGCTCCCCCCTGCCAGAAAACACTAGTCAGCATTCGCAACCATTGGCTGTGAGCACTGATCAGATTGCAATTCTCCAGATGTTTTTCCAACATGCCCCTTCAACAGAAGCTGGACAGGCTTCTGTACGCATGGGCCGAATGCCAGTTGGTTTCTGTTTAACCAGCTGATACTTCCCGATATTCGGACTGTGTATACCAAGCTTAAAGTAGTCCATGGACATGTGCTAAGATTTACTAGATATGAAAACCTGCCATGATAATTGTTCGCCCCAATATATGTTGTGCTGGCAGTTCCTGCCAGTGCTATTTGCCACCTCTCCTGCGTCTTCAGCATTGACCTAAACTTTAGGTGTTCTTGCACATGGGTGAAAAAAGCCGCGTTTTTTGCTGATCTGCACACAGGTGCATTGTTGTCTATGGAACAATTGACACAGCTGTGTAAAGATCAATAACACAGCAATGAGTTCAGATCCATAATATTAAAATAGAAATTTGTTATGTTTGAGTGCAGTAATTTAAGCACATATGGTTGTATATGCACGTACAGTGCAACACTGACAACTAGAATTGGATGAAGAAGAATTTATGGCATGTATACACATACTGTATGCACATTTACATGCCTATATGCGTGTATACGCAAGGTCTTTACAGAACTTCTAGGGATGTGCAATTCCTATCGCCGGGCAGGTAGTTTTTTTTTCACCTTTAGCCCTGCTGCGGGCAAGCAGCGGGCTCACCTGTCAGGTGAAGCAATCGGTGGCAGTGCTGCCGCTGATTGCTTTCATACGGTGCCAGCCTCTCTGCGCCCCCGGCGTGAGGTTTCCCTGGCTCCGCTTGCCCATCTGCGGGCCCGGCTCGCCGTCGGCTAGAGGGGAGGGAGAAGCCCACAGTGTCAGCCTCTCCCTTGCTATATGTCCCGGGCTTCGCTTGCCCATCTGCGGGCCCGAGACTGTTTCGGAGGGTGCCGCAGGATGTGGTATAGGGGAGGAAGGAGAGCAGACACATCGCTCCGCTCCCCTCCCCTTCTTCTCCTGATCGGAGGTCCCGTTCGACAGATTCTCGGTCATTTAGGCCAGGAAAAAAAATGTAATGCGGTGCGATGTGCACCGCATTACATTAAGTGTAGTACAAGGGAGACATGCAGGGTCTTTTAGACCCTGGATATCTCAAAGAGAAACTGTCACCAAAAATCATCACATAGGGGACTTTGTCCCATATGTGATTTAAAAAAAAAGATAAAAGTTAAATTTTTTTTTTTTTTTTAAATTGAAGTTGCACCTAAGCATATAACACCCCCAAATTTTTCAAGGCCCCCCACATATGTACGCACGCACATGCTCGGGCGCCTACACATGAAACCGTTGATTGCGATACACATGTTACATATCGCCGCGCACGCCAGAATGAGTGCAATAATTCTAGCACCAGACCTCCTCTGTAACACTATAATGGTGATCTATAAGGGGCTTTAAATATGTCACCTATAGAAAATAGTTTGCTAAAGTTTGTTGCCATTTGACAAGCTCACACAATTTAAGGTTTGACATACTGGATAGCTATTTACTCGCTGCAACCTCGTCTTTTATATTTTGCAAAAAAATTGGATAAACAGCACAATGTTAAAAATATTAAACATTTAAGTCGCCATAAAGCCCCTTTTATTTTTAAAAGCCCCAGATAAAACTTAAAGCAGATTTAAATACGGTTTTGGTTAAATTTATGTTTTTTTTATCAGGACAAGTAGATTGTCATGAGGGACAAGTAGATTGGGACACTGATTTAGTCCCTGGACAAGTAGTTTTTCAAAAAATTCCCACACCCCTGAGAACATTTCACTCAGGATCTTTATGCCAGCAAGATCCTACTTATACTGTAAAAATCAGTAAATTATTACATCCGTGTACAAGAGGCCTCAAAGATGGCGTAGCCAGATTGTGCCTTCACTTCCAACCACCCTCTAAACTCACCAGGTCAAGATGTGAATGTAAAGTTCTTCAGCAAGGGGTTATTAACAGTAGTAAAAACGTTATTAGTTGGCTGGCATTACACTATAACTACGACTGGAGTTCCATTAGCCATTGAGTTAGAGAATCATTTGTTCGGTTGGAGGCTTCTTGAGCATGTCAACCATATTAAGGTGTGCTTAAAGAAAGAATGGATAATTTATTTTATGTTAAAAAAAATCTGTTAAAAGTAAATAGTTTGTGGCTATAATTTTAAAACTTGCATTCAGATGTCACATTTCTGGTGGAGGTAGGCAACTAACTATAATTTGGGAAATACACATTTTGATTATAGCGTATCTGATGCCAGATGTTTGCAGATTATAATTATTTGTAGTTATTTGAGTAACCACTTAATGTGGAGCCTTCTAATCCATAGGTTACAATTGTGGAGAAAGCCGACAGCTCCAGCGTGCTGCCAAGTCCTCTGTCCATCAGCACCAAAGGGAAGATGACGTTCCTGTTCGCCAATCTGAAAGACAGAAATTTTCTGGTGCAGCGCATCTCTGATTTCTTGCAGAAGACATCCCTGCAGAGAGCTGGAGGGGACGATAGTGGGGAGCAGAGGACTGTTGTAAGGAAAGAAAGCAGGGGAAATAATACATATGAGGTGAACAGCTTTCTGCTTCTTCCTACCCTCAAAAAAAATCTTGGAAGAACATTTTTAAATGAATTGTGATAAAAACACAAGGTTATTTATAATAATGATTAAGGTAGTTGTACGGTGCTAGTTTTCTGTGGTTAGTACATCACAGTTCCAATATATAAGTAAACACTGAGCTCCTACAAAATAGTACCTGGTGTTGGAATAAATGAATGGTGCCAATTTTTCAGATATTTGGTAAGTTAGCTAAACCTAATTTTCTAAAAATATGCAGATATAATCTTGGTAATAAACTGCTATACACAGTAATCATCACGTTCTCTATATCGTTGTACTAGACTTTCTCCGGGGCTGGACGACATGTGCTTTTTAGAGCATTCTCAATACTGTTTTCATTGTATAGAACAGGGGTCTGCAACCTTTAAGACATAAAGAGCCACTTGGACCCGTTTCCGAGAGGGAAAAAAAGACTGGGAGCCGCAAAACCATTGCAACATTTAAAACAAATCCGACACTGCATATATTGCAAAAAGCGCTCTGGTCATGAAGGGGGTTTAAGGGCCCAGTAAGCAAAGGGTTAATCAGGGCCACAGTGTATCGTCATAATCACAATCATAGCCTTAGGTCAGTGGCGGGCAACCTTTTTTTTCAACTGAGCCAAATCTCGCCAAAACCACGATTGAAATTTATTTTGAGAGCCACATTTTTAAAACTGAAAATACATCCCCCATATAGTAATTCATCCCCCATATAGTAATTCATCCCCCCTATAGTAATTCATCCCCGATATTAATTCATCCCCCATATTAAGTCCCCAAGTCCCCCCTGTGTCAATTCACTTACCTTTGCTCCGCGCATTCCCGCGCCGTTCCGGTGTAGCATGGAAATCTGTCTCCTATGAGGATCTGTCCCCCTCGACGTATCTGCGCATGTGCCAGTTTCAGGCATTAGCAGCCGATCGGCGATCTCCGGCACATGCGCACATACGTAGAGGGGGACAGATCCTCATAGGAGACAGATTTTCATGCTACACCGGTCTTCAGGGCGGACTGTGAGAGGAGCCTAGCTCCGCGGGCCGGATTAAAAGGTCCGCCGGGCCGTAGTTTGCCCATTGCTGCCCTATTGCCTGTCACCTGGTGGGCAGTGTGCTCCGGAGCCGCAGCCAAGGTGAAAAAGAGCCGCATGCGGCTCTGGAGCCGCGGGTTGCAGACACCCGGTATAGAATAACAAAAGAGAAAGGGCAGAGGTGATTTCATGTCAACTAATTCTTTAAGTGCCCTCTTTACATCATCTGCACCTTCATTTCCCTAAATTTTCTTTGCTGAATGTTGCCAAATATATCCTACAATGACAAGAAGAGGGAACCCAGAAGTATTTATAACTTTGTGAATTCTGAGACAAAACTCTACCTCCGTTGTCCTGCTTTCTAGCCAGTAGTGCACATGTTGCATTATGGTAAAGAGAGCCCTGGCTGATTCCACACCAACCAATTTATTAGCAGTTAGTATGACCCACTGCAGTCTGTCAGAAAATCTTTACTCACTGATCTAACACAGAAAGTAATGACTGGTTACTGTAGGATACCACACAGGACACGTTTTTGTTGCTCTTGCATGGTCTCACAGAACAAGCCTGTATGTTTTTCTCATAAAAGATCACATGACCATTGGATTGTTTGTAAAGGGCAGACCATAATCTTAAATCTATGGTCACCTTTATATATATATATATATATATATATATATATATATATATATATATATATATATATACAATGTGTGCCTGCTGTTTTTTAATTCTGACAGACACCAAAGCTGCTCTCTGGAAGTCCAACTGATACTGGCATCACCATACTTCAAAAGCCTGGCTGTGAGGATGCCCCCACTGCGTCTCATGGACTTCTCCAGCTGTACTTGAAGAAACCAGAAGAAGACATGGGGCCAAAATGGGTAATTTATATTGACCTTATGAAATGAGTTTACCATTTCAAGATCAAAATGCTAGAAGTCATAACAACAAATTATAAACCATTTTAGTTGCTGGGACTGCAATCTGCTTCGTGGCACATTTGTCATTCTTCTGTGGTAAATAGTCCTAAGATTTCATTATAAGGCAGTTATAACTTTCTTCTAAAATGTAAAGTGGGACTCTAGCCATTAATTAAATAATTAACCTTGTTCTTCCAAACCCCTGCTGGTAAATATTATTAGTGCTTGTTTTACTAGGGAATCTAATACAAAGGGACAAAAACCTTTTTCTATGGTCCTGCAGTAGTCTGAATAGTCTGCTTTCTGTTCCTCTGGTCTAAAGAGCTGGAATGTAGTTTGGCACACCTACAACATCATCAAGTATAATGCAATGTTAGCAGTGGCTGCTGGCTCTGCATTGTACATGATGACACTGGCAACAGAGTGGACATCACTTAGATTAGATTATCTCCTTGCTATGTGAGCACTAGTTAGTTTACCAAATGGGGGAAGGGGGCAATGGTAATTCTTTAATTTATTGATGGGGCTAAAATCCTGCATATAAGCCAGCAATAAGAAAATTTGCTTTCCATTGCTTTCAATATTTAAGTAAGTTAATCTTCTAAAAAATAATAAATGTGCATCTTTTTTTTTTTCAGGCAAAAAAAATGTGTATTTATTAAATTTTTTGGGGAACCTGTAAAGCAATTCATCAGCGATCAGCTGATTGTGGGTGCAGTGCAGGGATCTTGCAGACTGTCATTGTAGGCAATTACACACTGACAGGAAGCATCAATGAACTACCTAAAGAAATTAACAGCCCCTGGTAGTCGCAAAGGCTGATTGTAGTTGTAGTTTCCCATTCACAGAACTCTGATAAGATCCCTGGCCTGCTGTCACAGTGGGGACTCAGCGGTGGGAGTGTGATGTGGGGGCAGCTGCAGCAGTAAGGTGCATGTATCCTTTAAAGCTATTTAACTGTAACCCCTTTAGTTTGGCTTACTTTATTTTGAATTAGAGCCTCTTTTTAGACTGCAAGTTAGTGATGCTGGTATATAATGATCAGTGCATTCCTACGTCTATCATTCAGAGTAATTTGGTGTAAGCTGATTGACTTGCCCTCTCATTTCAACCTATATCTGAAGTTGATGACTTATGGGCCGCCCTGTAGACAGAGCTAAAACTGAATATCTGTAGCTTGTAAAGGCTTTCACCTTCACTATATATGAACTTAGAAAACTGGCAATGGATTCTTGCAGCCCCTACCACTTACTTACTGTTATAAAATATTTTTTTTTTCTTAGACAAAAGAAAAAATGAAGGAGGAATCTTGGAACATTCACTTCTTTGAGTACGGCCGAGGGATGTGTATGTATCGAACATCCAAGACTCGAGACCTAGTTTTAAACGGCATTCCAGAGAACCTGCGAGGAGAACTTTGGCTCTTATTTTCAGGTAAGCTTAATGCAGTGTAATGTTGGATCAAATTATTATTGGATCAATGTATTATTAGAGTGAATAAACCAGCCCCAAAATGCACATGCCAATGGTCCATTCGGGGCTGTATTTGTTTCAATGTTTTTAATTGTAGGCAAGTGACCAAATCAGTACAGATGTATTTATAGTTTTTATATACAGTAAATTAAGGATTTTTGCTAGCACATGATTGGGTAGTCAAAGTACACACAGATTTACCTTTTTTTTTTAGTTTTTTAAACATGTTTATTGGTTTTGCAAATAAAGACAATACAGAAAAGAAAAAAATTTAAATAAACCAACAATGCACATACAATAATAACAAACCGCCACAGCTCACAGAACTACTCTAGCTTCCGTATTACCACTCCTCTTGTCAGACGTAGAGAGAGCCATGCGGTGATGCTGTACTCAATACCATCTGTAACTGAGCACGTCCCTCCTGAGACAGCTTCGGGATCGCTCACCTCTGTAGCATGCAGCCTTCCTATGTGATACGCCTCTGCTCTCTACTTGCCCAAGCTGAAATAAAGAATCTTGAATGTGTGCTATTTTCACTGGGATAATAAGCGTTGCAATGTTTTTAGAGGGATCCCAATCTCTTGTTATGTCTAATCCAACAATTGTCTCTCATGTCTCATCATTCCAATGCAGCATTAAAAAAACAAAGTTAATTTCAGGTACAATGGTTAAATCATACAATATATCAACAGAACAGATAAGTAGTGTATAAGTCTTAGTTTCCTGAATCTGGAGTTAAAGGGTCCCATATCTTATCAAACAACTTATATTTTCTCTTAAGTTTGTAGGTGAAGTTATAAAGTAGTAGATTAGAATTGATTAATTGCAATCAGGTATTAAGGGATGGGGAAGAAGGTCCCCTACCTGCCAGTAAAATGGTCTTTTTTGCATAAAAATATAATATCTTCTACAAACCTTTTAGCAAATCTAGAGATGGAGATATCTCCCAGTAAGCAATTGTTAGGATGTAGTATATTAGGGAGGACCAGTGCTGAGAAAATGTGTTATTTTAACCCAAAAGGTATGGACTAGAGGGCAGGTCTGGAAACAATGTAGAAAATCGGCTGTAGCACCACAGCATGTAAAACACTCAGGGGTTGGGCGAAGGCCCATTTTAAATAATCTGAATGGTGTAAGATGGCTATGGTGAAAAACCTTTGCTTGATTAATCCTATCTTTAGAGGCTATTATCAAGCTCTTATACATTTCTCCAAACTTTTAGACTCGGCAATAAGTGTAGAGTAATACTGTGTTATTAATCTAGGTTTCAGCTAGATTCCTCAATAGTTTTTCTAGGGAAGTAATTTGAGTTGGGATGTTTAGGGTCCTGATTTGGGCCAGGATGCCACACTGAATTTGGCAATAATAAATTAAGAAAGTGGATGGGAGATAAAAGTCCCCCTTCAATTGTGAAAAAATTTAAAACTTTAAACTCCTGCGTGATATGAGTCAGGTATTTAATTGACTATCTCCAAGTGTCGGGGATAGAAAGTAGTTTAGGAAGGGAAGGGCAGCCCTATTTGGAGAGGACGACCAGCAGTCTGAAGAGAGGCGTTTTTGTGTCCAGTAAAAAGATAGAGACAGGTGATAAACATTGTAGTGCTAGCAGTTGTGGGGGACTTGGCGTCTGTATATAATACAGGGTGCAGCAACATAACTTCCTTTTTTCAAAACGCAATAAAACCCATTTTATGAATCAGAATTGTTTTTATTGTCTTTAATAATGTAGGTACATATCTAAAGTTCTGTTTTACACAGTTTTGAAAATCATATCCGGTAGGTGACGCCCCCCATTGTCCATACACTGAATAAGCCAATTTCTGGCGTTTTTCATGACCCTTACCAGCATAGCAGCGGGTATGTTGGCAATTTCTGCGCGGATGTTGGCCTTCAGCTCTTGTAGGGTCCTTGGACGGTTTACATAAACGCGGGATTTAAAAAAAGTCGCAAGGGGCCAAATCGGGGGAGCGGGCTGGCCACTCCAAATCGCCCCTTATTGAGATGAGGCGCTCCGGGAAGTGTTTTCTTAAAACAGCCATTGATGCTCTTGAAGTGTGAGCCGTTGCTCCATCCTGTTGGAACCAAATGTCCCCTAAGTCCATTTCATCAAGTCGTGGAAAAACAAATTCCTCCAACATGTTCACATACCGGTCTGAATTCACTTTTTCAGTGTATGGACAATGGGGGGCGTCACCTACCTGATATGATTTTCAAAACTGTGTAAAACAGAACTTTAGATATGTACCTACATTATTAAAGACAATAAAAACAATTCTGAATCATAAAATGGGTTTTATTGCGTTTGAAAAAAGGAAGTTATGTTGCTGCACCCTGTATTATACAGGTTTTCAAAGGAGGACACTATGGCGTCTTCTGTAGTTCTGCATGCGATAGCCTGGGATGGATGAAGCCAGCCATTGATATAGACCAATTGGGAAGCTAAAGTAATAGACATAAAATAAACAGGGAAGACCAGGCCTGCCAGGCGAGCTGGTAATTTAGAAATATCCAAAGCCAGTCTGGGTGTACGTCCTTGCCAAAGAAATGTAAAAAATTTTATAGGTATTTTGCAAGAGTAGTTGGCCAGAACATAGAGTAATTTAGGTAGGAAAATCATTTTTATCATATCAACTCTCTCCATATGGTCCAGGTTCACCTACGGTACTAACATTCATCTTGAAAAAATTGTGATCATCAGATCATCCCTTCTGTCTTATTACTGTATCTCTCCATCCTAAAATAAGAAAAAGAATAATATTTATCTTTTTTTTTTTTTTTTTTTTTTTTTTTTTAGGAGCATCAAATGAGATGGCAACTCATCCTGGTTACTATGCTGATCTAGTGGAGAGGTCCACAGGACAATGCAATCTTGCAACAGATGAGATTGAGCGTGACCTCCACCGCTCCATGCCTGAACACCCTGCATTCCAGAATGAGCTGGGCATAGCAGCTCTTCGCCGTGTGCTCACAGCGTACGCTTTCCGCAACCCCAACATTGGATACTGCCAGGTACTGCCACTCTTCTTACCCACACAAGTGTTTAGCAAGAATAACAAATGCCTTCCCTGCTTGGTAACCTTCTGGTGTCATGGTTAAGAAAAAGTAAATTTGAAAAAAGTTCAGTTTTATTCATGTGCTACTAAAGTAACACGGTTAAGACCTGTGTGATTCTGAGTGTATGATAAAAGAAATGTATAAGGATTTTCAAGCATCTCGCAGGGTTATTGTATACTCATGGTATTATTTCAATCATAGTCTTCCTAAACAAATATGCGTTTGTTGTAATGGCATTGTAATCACATGCACATTTGTATGTTTATCTGAAAAGGCTTGCTTTTTCTGTAAAAGGTGTGTTTGATACAGGTCTCTCCTGCCTCACTGAATGCCCTTGTGGACCTCCTCACTTAATGTGTAATGTATTAATGTGTAGGGTGGGGCCAGACACCAGTTACAGAAAAAGTCAACATTTGCATGTCATTTCAGCTGCCTGTATCTATTTACCTCTGCCCCCAGCCATACATTGAATCTCTGCTTTTTTTTTTTTGCATAGCAAAGCTGCCATAATAATGTTCTCATTTGGCACATTTTGAAGTGTGTTGGATGCCTTTGTCCCTGTGCTGTAGTTCATCTGCCATGCTCTGTCACCTATGTGTCCTGTAATGACATAGTCACTTTAAAGGACAACTTCACCTTTAGTGAAGTTATCCTATTAAAAATCCCCCTACTCACCTATGTTTAGCCCACTCAGGAAAATACCTTATTCCCCATTGAACAATCTTTCCTCCATCAAGGTCCTTGACTGCTCCTCTTTATACTGCGCATGCCTGGCACAATCCCCTACATTGCTTTCAGTAAGCTGTATTTATTGCGGCCTCCAGCTGCCCCTTGGAGTATGGCTTACACATAGAATTGTAAGGGAATGCTGTGTGCATGTGCAGTATGAAGAGAAGCTGGCCAGGACCTTACTATTATCCCAGGTGGACTACAGTCATAGGGTTGGTGGGATTTATTAAAGGACAACCTCAGTAAAGGTGAAGCTGTCCTTTCATAGCATCTACCAAATGCTCATTTACCTGCGGAGATGCAGTGGAGAGATCTGACATTTTGCCGGATTTGATATTATTAGCTGCAGAATGGTGTGCAACCTTGGTGGACCAAAGACTGAAAACCTGAAGGTTAAAAAAAAAAAAAATCTTTAGTATGTGATGCTAACCGATTCCATGTAGAGTAGAATTTCCAGTGTAGGTGCATCTACTGTTGGCCACTGAGTGAGTGGGCTTTAATGCAGAAAGGCCGTAAATATGCATCCATATGGAACTGCTTTTCTGTGCTGAATGCTCACTCAACACAGTAACTGAGCTATCACAGGCAGCTCCCAATGCATACTTGTGATTGGGAGCCTTTGATCATGTAACTGCTGTGACAGCCAGTCACAGCTGTCACAGGATTGGAAAGCTCGTCTCCACCTCTCACCAGTTAGATCCTCTTCAAGGGTTGGGAGTTGGCGACGGCATGGGGTTAAGAACCCCAGACTAATAAAGTGGTATGTTTTAGGAATATTGCCAATATTACATCCTTGGTATTGAGAGCAGCTCATAGAGTTGTTTAGTACCCATCACTAATACAGTCTGTTTCTGTACCCACTCCTCTATTCCATCATGATTACTAACATGCATACACTATGGAAAGTTTCCCTTTGTCCTCCATGGTTTAGCCCTGTTTAGGTGTGACACAAAGGGAGGAAGGATGACCAAACACACAGGAGCAAAGATTCAATTTTCTGCACTTGTAACTTACTAAGACATGATGACATGATTTTACATTTTAATTGACAGAAGGAAGTTTAAATTCACTAAAATGTATTATGGAGTTATGCTATTTGATGGAAATACTGCATAATATATTTTTTTCTTTAATAAATATGCATACTTGGATATATGGAAGCTTGCTGCTCAGAACTTCTTGTTTCCTCTTCTGCAACCTAGTCTAGGCTTAGAAACCCATAGAAAACAAACTGATTGTAAAGACCAGGCTAATCTAATCCTAATAAAAGGCCACGTGACCATGGTTGTACTCTTCGTGGCATTCAAACATCTGATTGTAACATGACCCCAGCTGGCCAGAAAGAGATTTGGTAGGGTGTAAAATAGTAAACCTATTTAGATATATCTCTCAGAACTGTGGTGTAATGTGCTCCAATAGTGCAAATGGATCTTTTATCAATATCTCATATGCTATATAATTCTATATAACAACAAGAGATTTTTATTTGTAGGCCATGAATATAGTGACCTCAGTTCTGCTGCTGTACTGTAATGAGGAAGAAGCATTCTGGTTGTTGGTGTCACTGTGTGAGCGAATGCTGCCAGATTATTACAATACACGGGTTGTTGGTAAGTCCTGATCAACATCCAGCTTAAAGATATTTAAACTTCCAAAGAACCTGATTTCCTAATAATTGCTTCAAACAATAGAGTTGTTAGAGTGCAAATGTCCAGATTTATTTTTTATAGTTAATACAGTCAATGCAGGCCGTAGGAATAATGTGGGATTGTGCTGATGTGTAAGAATAAACTGTTTAAAGTGTAGTTTAATTACCTGCAAGTCACATGAAGCAGCAACTCCAAAATTCAGAAAATGCTGATCTGGGGAAGGGTATATCAAGCAGGGAAACAGGACCTACCTGTGATGTCACTGCAGTATCCTGGACTGCTTGTTCCAATAGCCATTGCAGCTAACTAATGATGTGGGTAGAACTATAAACAGCAGGTTACTGTTTCAATCATTGAGAAGAGGGTTTAATGAGAGGAGCAGCCAGTGTACAAAGCACTGGGATCTGGCAAAGCTGCAAAGGATATGTGGCCAAGCTCACATGAGCAACCAATTGGGTCAGATTGAATATTGCTTTGAGGCAGCAAACCACAATCCAGTATTTCAACTAACTAGGTAAAGCACATTGTTTTAAGCATTCTTAAAGACATATACAGCAGTTTCATGTCAGGTGATCCACTTTGATCAATTTTATTATGAATTGCACTTTTTATTGTTGGGTTTTTATCTGAATGGTCTTTAGCTTTAGCCCTGCTTTTCGCACTGAATGTAGCTTTGAAAGCACGCTACTTCCCTCCACTAGTGCGGTTTCAAAGCCGCCAGTCATTGCAATTTCATGTGCGGCTTGCCTGACATCTGTGTGACTGCATGCACAGATGTCTATGCAAGTCGCACATAAAATTGCAGGAACCTTTTTTAAAAATCTGTGCCACACTGCAAAGTTGGAATCGCACTAATTTCAATGGTTCCATAGGCACAAATAGGGTGCGACTTGTCATACGATTTGGAACTCTCAAATTGCATGACAAGTCGTACCAATGTGAACCAAGGTTGAAAATAAAAGCCGTCATGCAAGAAAATGCTGTGTCTTTTGATCCCGAGTTTCAGTTCACTGGGTTCTTTGTGACATAGAAACTTGAAGTGGTTCTAAAGGCTCAAGGTTTTTTACCTTCATGCATTCTACACATGAAGGTAAAAAACCTTCTATGTGTAGCAGCCCTCCCTAACACTTACCTGAGCCCCATCCCGATCCAGCAATGTCCACACAGCCTCGGTTCTCTGGGGACTGTCACTCCTGATTGGCTGAGGCAGTGAGCCAGGAGAGGGAAGGGGTGGGGCTGATCCACGGCTCTGTGTGTGAATGGACAGGCAGAGCCGTGGCTTAGGAGTGCGCCTGCTTGGGTGCCCCCATAGCAAGCTTCTTGCTGTGGGCACCCAATAGGAGGGAAGGGCCAGGATCGCTGGCGGGGGGACCCAAGAAGAGGTGGATCCGAGCTACTTTGTGCTAAACCACTGCACAGAGCAGGTAAGTCTTACATGTTTATTATTTAAAAAACAAGACTTTAGCATCACTCTGAGCAAAGTGTTGTATGACACTTTTGCAGCCTTGGAGGAGGACACTTTCAACCAAACAATAACATGTTGAGCCAGCAGAAGTATGAAATGACTGCTCATACAAAATTTGCATTGGTGACTAATACCTCCTGTCTGTTGGGTATCTAGGGGCCTTGGTGGACCAAGGTGTGTTTGAAGAGCTGACGCGTGAGTGCCTACCTCAACTGTCAGAGAAGATGCAAGAGCTGGGAGTTATCTCCACCATTTCTCTCTCCTGGTTCCTCACCCTGTTCCTCAGTGTCATGCCATTTGAGAGCGCTGTAGTGGTAGTTGACTGTTTTTTCTACGAAGGCATCAAACTGATTCTGCAGCTGTCATTGGCTGTACTAGAGGCAAACATGGATGCTCTGTTAAACTCCAGTGATGAAGGGGAAGCCATGACTATACTTGGAAGGTAATCGCATGCAAAATTTAAAAATAGGTTTGATAACATCGAAGGATATGTATTTCACAATAATTTTAACAACATGTGTAGAATTTTACTGAGTTTAAAAGCTGCATTTAATTGTTTATTTAATGAGAATGCCCCAAGGACATGTAAATGATTATTAAATAGGCTTTGTTTACATTCATCTTGTCTGCAGCATGCACTGTAACTGTTACCAGTTGAGTAAGAAACTGGAATGTATCTAATCCACATTTATATTTAATTCTTTACTGCCAGGAGTCATACACTTATTATTTCTATGTTGCAATGCACTAATGTAATTACTAGAGATCACAAACCGCTAGAAGCAGGCCCTATTTAGCATAGCTTCTATATAAACCAATATCAGGTCAAACCATATAAATGTAATTTTCCTCATGACCTATTGTACCACCACTGGTATGTAATCATTGAAAAACAATGCAGAAAGGTGTTTGAACTTAACAGTGTTAACTTGTATACCTTTAGCAATAATAATATTGTTTTACTCTAGGTATCTTGACAATGTGCTGAACAAGCAAAGTGTGTCACCTCCAATCCCCCACTTGCATGCTTTACTACTTACCGTTGGTGATGAACCACCAGTTGAAGTTGACATTTTTGATCTCATCAAAGCATCCTATGAGGTAAAGATAAATGATCATTCTTTTTAGCTCATAAGGTGGAGTATTGTTAAAGATCCCATTCAGTGATAATTGTTGGACAGCCTACCTCTTTTTTTAGCTTTGATACCTTTTTTGAACATATGGATTATTTGCCTGAATTACTATCTTCTGTTTCTAGAAGTTCAGCAGTTTAAGAGCTGATGACATTGAGCAAATGCGATTTAAGCAGAGATTGAAGGTCATACAATCTTTGGAGGATTCTGCAAAAAGAAGTGTGGTAAGAATGAATACATTATATATAATTACGTTTCAGGGCAAGTGTTTGAATTGTGGGTAGAAATATCAATTTATATTGCAAGTTTCACAGCATGTTATATGTTACCCCTACTGTTTGACGTTTAGGTGAGAGCCATTTCTACCGACCTGGGCTTTTCCATGGAAGAGCTGGAAGATTTATATGTCCACTTCAAGGTCAGTGTGTTTTTCTTTATTTTATACTATTAGTTTGTGACATTATAATCAATAACAGCTGTTTCCATATAAAGCTTTCAAAACCTGCCCTTTCTTTAGATTTCAAATTTGGCATTGCAGCTACAACATGCCAGCATTTCTTTCTTCTGATGCATAGCAGTGCTTTGTGTAGACCCCTGGTACCCAGCATGCGGCCCACCAGCACTCTGAGATTAGGTCAAGAACACAGCAGGCTGCATGTCGAATGGCAGAGGCTCAAGTGGGGCTTAGCACTGGAGCCACTGGCAGTCAGTGACAACTTTAGTTCAGTAATAAGCTGAATCAGTCAGCTTCTGGGCTCCTGCTACTAAACACTTTGCAGCAGTGCCTGTAAGTAGAGCACTGTAAACACAATGCAGAACAATGATTCTGCATTGGTTTTACATAGGAAGGGATTAGGGCTGTGGGAGGGCGCCTGATGTTGGCTGTCACTGTGACAGGAGCTCTGTATGTGGATGAGCTGTGGTTTGATTTGTGCGGTGTTTGGGTAATCTAGGAGTGCTGTGAGACAGTGTGTGGCTACACTGCATTCATCTCTGACATGAACTCTCCTCCCTTGCTGGCCAGAGCAGTGCTATGCAACCTATCTGTTCTTCATTGTGGGATGTTCTCTGTGTAATAATGGCTCCTGGTTGGACAGCGCTGTTGTCAATCATATGCTCTCATCATGCAGAGCACAACCCACAATAGAAGAGAATTTTTGAATATCACTACTCCAGCTAGCAATGCTTGACCTAGCTTAGCAGACAAATCAGTCCCTAAATCCCACATATTTATTTATTTATTTCAGGTACTTGTATAGCGCCGTCAATTTACGCAGCTCTTTACACATATATATATTGTACATGCACATCAGTCCCTATCCCTCATAACGTGTTACAGTGTTGGGGTGCCATTCAATTTGAAAAGCACCCCTGCGCACTGAGGCAATGCACCCCTTCACTGTTACTGCCAGAAAACGTGATCGCACAGTGCATTGCATTTGAAAAAATAGGTCATTTGCAATATTAAACATGAGGGTGCTTTAGCATGGTTCATTAACACACCATTTAGGCTCCTTGCGGATGGTAGTGCTCCACTCCAGTCGACAGGTGATCCATAAGTAGATCCCCTCTTGAACAGAGCAGATGTCATTTTGTTTTTTGTTTTTTTTACATCCACATCCATTCAGTGATGGCTGTATGGGCGGCCAGATGTAAGCAGACATGTGTTCTTTTCTTTATACATCAGACTACCTCCAATTTGCCACATACAGGTTTGGAAGAGAGGATGCAGTCTTTTTTTCTGCTTTATTTTCCAGACCATCTGCCCATAGACCTGCATGGAGCCTCCGATCAAGTTCTCCTGAAAAACTGACAGGCCTGACTTGATTGGAACACAGAAATGTGAGAGGGGCTAAAAAAGTAAACAAGACCTAAAAAAAAATCAGCATAACATTTTTAACGCAGCACTGCTATGCATTGCTTGTTTGTTGTGGTGCTCTGCAGTGTGGCTTTGTTGACTGCTACTGTAACAATTCAATGGGGTGCCATTCAAAACTATTGGTGAAAGTACGCATTAACATGTGTTTGGTAATGCACAGAAGAACATGCATTTTACTGTGCGTTAACACAACAAATACGTGTAAATAAGCCCCTACTGTTGCAATATTTTAAACAGTAAATATTAATAAATTAAATTTAAATAAATAACATAAGATTTGTAAAAATTAAAAACTACTGTGCGGCCCTCCAAACATTTTGGGGGCGGCACTTGAGGTTCCTTACATTTCCTAAGTTGACCACCACTGAAGATCAACAGACCACCCAAAACTAAAAAAAAAATAGATTTTAACTTGGACACCGTCTACACAAGGCCAGATGTAAATTGGGAACCTCCACAGAGTTCTGTTACTATGGTGCTCTTGTCAGTAGTATTTTACGTAGAAGATACTGGATCGGTGACCCTGCTTTGTGTCCTGGCCCATAGTTTGGTCATTTCTACTGTATTTTATTCTTACTGAAATTGGAATATTGTATTGTTTTATCCTTGCTTCCTTACATTAGTGTCAATTCACTAAAGCATAATCTATTCATGTGCTATTTTATAACTTTTTTTATGACGTCTTAAATACATTTAGAGTTTTATGCATAGATCAGCTGGAAATGTTGGAGCTACGTGCACATTTGGTTACTCATTTTTGTGGGGTTTTCTTAGTTAATCGTTCTTTCTAATTTTTGTTCAAGTATCGTCATATTGTGCTCCTTCAAAACAACCACACTGTCTTTTTTCAGGGTAGCCTGTATTTCTCCTTAGGTTACCTGTGGTTTTTTCTTTGTATCCAAATTCTTCTGGCAGTTGTGGCTGCAATCCTTCTTGGTCTACCTGACCTTGGCTAGGTATCAAGAGATCCCAGAATTTTCTACTTCCTAATAATTGATTCAACAGTACTGACTGGCATATATATTTTTTTATATCCTTTTGCATCTTTATAAAGATTCCATTACCTTGTTACGCAGGTGTTTTGACATTTCTTTTCTGCTCCCCATGGCTCAGTATCTAGTCTGCGCAGTGCATCCACCTGAGACCTAACAAATTTATTGACTATTTATACACAGACACCTATTGCAATTTAACCACTTGCCCTCTGGAAGATTTACCCCCTTCATGACCAGGCCATTTTTTGCTGTTCGGCACTGCGTTATTTCAACTGGTAATTGCCAAGTCATGCAGTGCTGTACCCAAACTAAATTTATATTCTTTTTTTCACACAAATAGAGCTTTTTTGGTGATATTTGATCACCTCTGCGGTTTTTACATTTTGCGATATAAACAAAAAAAGACCACAAAATTTGAAAAAAAAAAAAAAAGATATTTTTCACTTTTGGTTATATAAAATATCCAATAAACTTAAGTTAGTCATAAATTTAGGCCAAAGTGTATTCTGCTACATGTCTTTGGTAAGAAAAATCCCAATACATATATATTAATTGGTTTGTGTGAAAGTTATATGGTATATACATTGGAATTTACACAGCTTTTATTTTCTGACTGCCTATCACATTTCTTGAGCTGCTAAAATGCCAGGACAGTACAAACCCCCGCCCCCCCAATGACCCCTTTTTGGAAAGTAGACACCCCAGGGATTTTGCAGAGAGTCCATGGAACATTTTTATTTTTTGCCACAAATTTTTTGAAAATTACAATTTTTTTTTTCTTTTTTTTTACACAAAGTTGTCATTTAAATGATATGTTGCGCTTGCATGCCATGGGTATATGTGGAATAACACCCCAAAACACATTCTGCTACTTCTCCCGAGTATGGGGATACCGCGTGTGAAAGACTTATTGGCAGCCTAGCTACATACAAGCCCCCAAAATCCAATGACCACTTCCAGGCTTTCAAAGGGCATATTTCCTCATACTACTTCCTCACTACCTACCTTTTCCAAAAACATCTGGCAACAAAACAGGATCTGCAAAATACTCACCATGCGTCTTGGCAAATACTTTGGAGTGTCTACTTTCCAAAATTTTTTATGTCACACAATATTTGTGCAGCAATTATTAGAAATATTGAACTAGTGTGGAAAGGGGGGTGAGCAAGGATTTTTTATGTACGTTTTGTTTTTGTTTTACACTTTGCTTTGCAGGAGAAATAAAGATAATTTCTCTTGCAATGCAAAGCTTGCTGTCATGAACCTAACTCGTTCATGAAACTGTCATGAATGAGTTAAGTTTTTGACAGCTCGAGATAGTGATTTTTGATTGGCTGGAGCTGGTCACATGATACAGGGTGCTGTGATTGGCCCCATGTATCATGTGACAGCTGTGGGCCAATCACAGCTCACTAGAAAGAGAATCAGCGCTGTTATGAATCAGATTGATTCATAACAGCTTTGCTAACATTGTGATCATGTGATCCCATAGCGATCACATGATCACCGGGATCTTCATTCCGCTGTGTCCGCCGGACACAGCAGTCGCGGGTGGGAACGCTGCGCGCCTGCCTGTGTTAGTACAGCCAGAGCGACGTACTCGTACATCGCTTTGCCTGTAGCTGCCGCTCCCGTCTGCAGTACATTGTGGGCTGGTGCTCAGGAAGCGGTTAAAAAGCCACAGATATGGGAGATTAACCTTTAATTGCCATTAACCTGTGTGTGTCACCTTGTGTTTGTACCAAGGCTAAACATGCCAGGGTATGTAAACTTTTGATCAGGGCAATTTGGGTGATTTCTGTTATCATTATGATTTAAAAAGAAGCCAAACAACTATGTGATAATAAATGACTTCATATGATCACTTTTTTGGCATAATCAGTCATACTTTCAATATAAATGCCAAAGTTTTACAATTTCTGCCAGGGTATGCAAACCTTTGAGCACAACTGTATATATAAAAGGAGAGGGGGAAATACACAATATCTTATGCAAATTAGTGAATTGACATAGAAAAGAATATGGTATCCAACAGTCTATGAAGCTGAGTGCCTACTGAAATTTTATTCTCAGCCCTGGTGGTCTCATAATCACAGGTTAATTCGGGTTGTGCAGTTTTTTTTGCATTATTCCACGTATAACAGAACAATAGGGCCTTGTATTATCTACATCTCTAAATGTATATTTTCTATTCTAGGCTCAGCATTTAATGAGTTGCTACTGGGGTGGGAACCGTGCATCCAGTAATCGCCATGACCCCAGCTTGCCTTACCTGGAGCAGTACCGAATTGACCTGGACCAGTTTCAGGAGTTATTTGCTCAACTCACTCCATGGTCCTTTGGAACTCACACCACCATACTGGCAACAAGGATTTTCCGCTTGTTAGACAGCAACAAGGACTCACTAATAAACTTTAAAGAATTTGTTACTGGACTAGGTAAGTAATTAAAGACATTTCTGTTATACATTTTAAGAGATTTTATTTTTCTATTGAATAAAGTGAAACCTAGAAGAGAATTTATATGTAATTTCAGGTGGTAGATTACCCAGGGGTTCTCTGCTCTCCTCTAACTGCCTATAACCCTGTTCTTTTATTTATGTTAGTGTACGTAACCACTTGCACTCCGGAAGGTTTTACCGCCCATGACCAGAACATTTTTTTGCTGTTCAGAACTGCGCTACTTTAATTGGCAATTGAACGCTCATGCAACATTGTATGCAAATTACATTTTTATCATTTTTTTTTCACACAACTAGAGTTTTCCTTCGGTGGCATTTGATCACCACTGGGTTTTTGTTTTTTTTTTTTTTTTTTTTTGTGATATTAACGAAAGAAGGCTGAAAATTAAAAAAATATATTTTTTTTTCTACTTTGCTATAAAAATATTCAATCAAAAAAAAATTACATTCATAAAAAAAATCAAATTTCTTCAGACATTTGGTAAAAAAGAAATCCCAGTCTTAATTGGTTTGTGCAAAAGTTACACTAGTAATGGCGGTGATTAGCAACTGTGGGACTGTGATAGTGTAGTGGGCAATCAAAGGGTTAACTGTGCACCGAACAATGTAATGTGTGGTGCTTTTACATTTCAGAGCAGGGAGATGAAACAGCCAGGTTGCTGTTCACAATACGCAGAGTTCTGTGTCTTTGTAATCACAGAAATCTGTGTGTGATTGGTCACAGCCTATCAGCTGACTTCAGCCAAAATCATTGGCTGAAATCAGCTGCCAAACTTGTGCTGTGTCCAATCACACCACTGGTCAGCAGGGGGTGCGCTGATGCACGCCCTGAACCTGGAAGAAAGACTGCGATGTACAAGTATGTCGCCTGGCCTGAAGTTGCGCAGTTACTGTGAGCTGGCGGCAATCAGTTTACAATCCGTTTAAGAGCTCAGTTTTGGATAGACTGAGTTTGAGAACTTTCATCAAGCATATGTGCTCCCCATCTAACATGTTGTTGACTGTGCAAATAATGTCTGTTTTTTTTCTCTTTCTCCACAGAAAAGTATATACTTTAACACTCATTTTGTTAAACATTGTCTTTTCTTGGGGTTCAAATATAAAATTATCCCAGTATAATAGAGACAGTATCAGGTGTGAGTTTTTCCCACATCTCATACTTCTGTTAAGGTGACCATACACTAAGCATTCATTGTATTGTACAGTCTCGGTGCAATCTCCTTTAGCTTCACCAAAACTATGTAATGCGAAGACAAATCTAAACAATCCTCTTTATTAACCACTTCAGTACCGGGCATGTTGACCCCTTTCCTGCCCAGACCAATTTTCAGCTTTCAGTGTTGTCGTAGTTGAATGACAATTGTGCGGTCATGCAACACTGTACCCATAAAAAAATTTAATTTTTTTCCCAAAAATAGTGCTTTCTTTTGGTGGTATTTAATCACCACTGAGTTTTGTATTTTTTTCTAAATAAACACAAAAAAACCCTGAAACTTTTGAAAAAAAAAAACGTTTTTTCTTCGTTTCTGTTATACAATTTTGCTAATAAATAAACTTTCTTCATAAATTTCGGTCAAAATGTATCCTGCTACATTTCTTTGGTTAAAATACCCCCAAAATTAGTGTATATTATTTAGTCTGTAGGAAAGTTATAGAGTCCACAAACCATGGTATATGTATCTGACAATCGATCAATCAATGAAGTGACAGCCAATCTCATTTCTTGAGGCCCGAAAACGCCAGGATAGTACAAGTACCCCGGAATGACCAATTTTTGTAAAATAGACAGTCCAAGGTATTTAGTAAGAGGCATGGTGAGTTTTTTTGAAGTTGTAATCTGTATGTCAGTATGACAGTATGTAAAAAAAAAATAATAATGTCATTTTTAATTTTTTTATATATATTTTTTTTCTTTTTTTTTTACTATTATTTTCTAAAACACACTGTGACCACATCAATACAGTGTTACCATAGTAACATTGAACTACTCTGGGCAAGTAATCAGGATTTTTTTAAATTTTTTTTTACACATTATGATTGCTAATACTAATGTATTTCATTAATATTCGCAACCATTGGTACTGAGCGAAACTGATTCATTCAGTCTTTTGTTGTGAATAGCTGTGATTGGGCAAAGCTCATCGCATGATACAGAGGGGCAGTGATTGGCCCTGTCTGTACCATGTGACTGCTTTGACCAATCACAGCTAACAACACAAATATACACACAATGGATGGCATGAAAGGAAGCCATCCATTGTATACAATTGTCATGTGATCTGCTGTGAATGATCTCATGACACTGGCAATGGGCCAGTGTAGTGATCTGTCATTGGCTGTGTCCCAAGGACACAGCTGGTGACAGATCGCGCGGGGTCCCATGGCTGCATGAGCGGAACCTTCGACAGGACATCATATGACGCCCACTCAGAAGGAGGAGTGTCCCGCCCCGGCCTATAGCAGGTTGATGGAAGGTGTTAATACCAAATCAGGAAGGTTTTTATACAACTTAGTTGATGGTAGATCTAAAGGAGATTGTACACTCAGATTGCATAGTGTATGGTCAGATATAGACCTTAACTTTGGTGAAATGGGTCTACCAAGGTGAGTATGGAGAGGGATACTCTCTCTCTGAACAAATGTCATCCTGAAATGCCATTCTTCAATAGTATGTGTCTACAAGACAAATTTGTGTGTCTTGTAGTTAGTGTTTCGCTAAAGTAATTTTATGGGAAATGGGAAATTGGGACTTTTTCTGTTATTAGAGCAGGATCAACCTTTTACTACAATCAGTGAGTTCCTTTTCTTTTCCTTTGTTAGGTGGAATGTACCATGGTGATATGACAGATAAGCTGAAATTTCTATATAAATTACATCTACCCCCTGGTAAGTAATACGAGTTCGTGGTTAGACAAATGCCTCACCCGTAGAATGGTGCCATCGAATGAGTGGAGACATTATATTAGAATGCTATGAATTTTAACAGATCGTTTTAAAAAAAAAAAAAAAGTCACAATTAATTTCCATTCACACAAACGTATGACTTTCTAGGCTACCCTTGTAGCTCTCACCTATTCTTCTGTATTTTGGTGTGACATATGCTAGCTATCACTCTTAATGTTTTGGATGTATGGGTCCAACTGGACCCTGTAACAGTAATTGCAGCCCCCTCTGGTACCTATAACAATAATTACACTTCCTGCTGTTCCCTACAACAATATGTACAACTCCCGCTGTTCCCTATAGTAATTAATTCACTTCTTACTGAACCCGGTAACTTCAAGCCTGCACTACTGTTCTCCAGAGCTCCATGATAGCTTGGCTTGCATACTGTATAAATCTATATATCTATTAATAGACATTTCTATCACACAACAACATTCTGTCATCCCCTAGTTATTCCAGCAAAATTTACAGCAAAAGTTGTCTGCTCCAATCTAAAATTTAGGCTTTCATAAACAGTGTCTGTAAGGATGTCCTCTTTAAAAAGTCCTACTTGTCACTCATCTAGGCACTGTCCAGTGTAAGACACTGGACAGACCAGAACACACTGGAAGAGATTATCTCTGCAAGCTGATCAGAATTTGGGATTATTACTCTGTCATCTATTTCGGCTTTCTAAACAGACCAAAAAATAGAAATGATAATGGCAAACATATTTGTTAAATTTCACATTGTGTCTAAGACTAAAAATATTAGCTTGTTATATTTCCAATAGGTTTTTGGTGTTAACTATTATTGTTTTATCTACAGGCTGTGTTTTATCCTGAAGTTCAGAGTCCATCTTGCATCACCAAATTTGACTTACTCATGTTATCATATACTGATATTATTTGGGCTTTTTTTAAATGTAATCTGTTTGTCTCTCTCATTTGGCTGTAGCTCTCAGCTCAGAAGAAACAGAATCCGCTCTAGAAGCCACTAACTATTTCACAGAGGATGTAGCTCCCGAAAGTAAGTAGGGCAATATCTGCAGTGGTTTTGGTAAGCTTGGAAGTAAAATTGCACAGTAATATTTCACTTGATTGGGCTTATTAGTCCTTAAGAGGTTTAAATAAAGTAATTGCTTGGAGAAAACCAGTAAGGAATAAACATTTTGTAAGAATGTGAATCTCCATTCTTAGGTTGGTATACTGGTGCAGTCTCAGGGATAGGTAGATGGCCTGTTATTAATTTGTTTTCTTTCCTAACTTCAAAAAATGGGCATGCTGTCTCTTGAAAATTCCAAAGTGCAATTGTGCATACAATATAACTATGTCAAACCATATTGTTATGGAGAAAAGTGATAATGTGAGCTCAATATATGCAATAAACTAAATAAATGTAAATATAAAATCACAAATAAGGTTGTGCCAAAACACCATACTCCACTTTCAAAATAAAAAATCTACCTAGAAGAGTATATATCCATACAGATGGACAAATGTGTGTATGGACAAAAGTTAAATGTGCAAGCATTATTAAATATATATTATTCAATATTGCAAACAAAGTTAAAGATGAATAAAGCAACCAAATCTTCAAAATGTCTGCACAGATGAATACATATCCTGGTGAACAGTTCAGAATCAAGATGGAAAAGGTATCATACCAGAGACACTGATCCCACATAGAGATCATGAAGCGCCTTGCTATCCCACTGCACAAAATATTCAGACATGCCACTCCATCTAGATACGACCTAATTGGGATTTTCCATCTTGATTTTTGACTGTTCCCCAGGATATATATTCATCTGTACAGACATTTTGCACATTTGGTTGCTTTATTAATTTTTAGCTTTGTTTGCAATATTGAATAATATATTTTTATTTATAAAAAATCTAAAAAATGCAGCGCTGAAATTATGATTGTGGTAATGACCATCAAATGCAAACATAATGTTCAAATGGATTATCCCTTCATAAAGCAAAAACTTAAAAGTCCTGTTGATGTAAAGTATTCCAATATTGCAGAGGTCAAAGTGATGTGATATACTTCTGGCTACTCCATGAGGTGATAGTAAAATAATGCACTTACCAGAAGTACATACAAACTGAGCGTTGTATGTAAATAATCCGTGGAGATTTCAGAGTCTGGTCACCGGAATGGCGTCATCTAGGGCTGCAGCAGACTCCCAGGAATGGTGTCACTCACACTTGGGGGTCATCACAGGCTCACCAGAAGGTCCAATGCCGTTCAGACTCCTGGATCCACTCCTCCCTAGTTGGCTCGAGATAAAATAATCCCGTTTATTGAATCAACAAAAATGTTTAAAAATGCAGAACACTCATATATTACAGCAGAAAGGTTTTCAGGCATAACTCAAAAGAATTCATCACCTGGTAGTCAACAGCGTCAAAATAGGGGATTCCCCTGACATGTTTCGTGCGAAACGCACGTTATCAAAGGGGTCTATTTTTATTTATGCTTCTTCATTTAACCTTTGTCCATATGTATATTGGTCCGTCTGTACGCATATACACTTTTTAAAATGTTTTTTTTCTATTTTGAGAGTGGAGTACTGAGTTTTATCACATACAGCTTTTAAGTTTGTGTGTTTTTGACATATTTAGGCATCTAGCTTTTTATTGTCCAAACACACATGTCCAGCTGTACAGATATACACTCTTCTAGGTTGATTTTTTATTTTGAAAATGGAGTATGGTGTTTTGGCACAACCTTGTTTGTGATTATATCTTTATATTTATTTAGGTTATTGCATATACTGAGCTCACGTTATCAAGTTTCTCTATAATAATATGGTTTGATATAGTTATATTGTATGCACAATTGCACTTTGGAATTTTAAAGAGGCAGCATGCCCATTTTTTTCAAGTAGTTGCTTTACAATTTAGTATCAAGATTGTGTAGTGGATGCAGCAGTCTTTATTTTCTGTTTTTTGCTAGTGCAAGGAAATTAATTGTTTTTGTTTTTGTTTTCTTTCCTTGTCTGAGCAGAACTAGCAACTCGGTGTCAGGCTGCAGGACCACATGAAGGCTGATGTACCTCCTGCCTGAGCTCAGAGCTTAAAACTGTCTGCTGGAGGAGGAAAAACTGTCAAATGACAAAGCTTTTTGTTTCCTTTCATGTAATCTTAAAGCAGACCATGCAGTACAATGCATGCTCCAAATATACTGTCTAGGCCCCCTCTCTAATTTAAAACATGATGTTAGTAGGTGTAAAATATACCTATAAAAAAATGTTTGGCTTCTACCTACCTTACCCCTCTCTTCTGCATCACTGTCCTTCTGGTAAGATTCCTGAAAATGCAGAGGAGGCCAAATCTCTCGAGGGGGCACTCCAGTCCATTGCAAGAGATTATGGCTGCTCTGTATTTCCCAAGACCTTGCTGGAAGAAGTATAAACTCTCCCTCACCTGGCCACTGCAGGTGGAAGACGGTGGTAAGGTAAGCATGAATTTGACCCATTTAATTACAGGTACATTTTGGATATGCTAACACTGAAAATTCTTTCAGCCCCTTGCACACTGCTGTACATCCTTGGATATTTCTAGCAAACATTTGCATAACAGGAATTTTTGGTTCACATACATTGCAATACATGTTCAAGCTGGCCGACTTCATCAAAGTAATCCCTCGCTGGCCTTTATGCAACAGTCTGCTAGAAATATGCAAGGGTGTATAGCAGTGTGTAAAGGGTTAATACAGAATTTTGTATTGTTAATGTGGTCACATTCCTTTAGCACCTGATGTGTTATGTATATGTAAGCTATTTGTATTTGAGCACAGACATATCTCCATTTCTATTGAATAATGCAGGTGAGTGAACAGATCTGAGTCTGTAGCTTTCCTCCGGTTGTCTGTCTGACCCATATTGGCACTATGGGGGAGATTTCCTAAAAATGGTGTACTCAGAATCTGGTGCAACTGTGCATGATAGCCAATCAGCTTTTAAGTTCAGCTTGTTCAATTAAAGATTGACAATAAAACCCGGAGGTTGATTGGTTTCTGTGCAGAGCTGCACCAGATTTTGCATTATGCAGATAACCCCCATATGTCCACAGACGTATGCTATAAGTAAGCAAGTATTTGGCATTTTGCAGAGTAGAGGAGAGACTGGCCAGAAAGGAATTACTTTGGCACATGTAATGCAACGCAAGTGAACCATAAATTTTTGTTTTTATTCAGATGTTGCTAGAAATATGTAAGGCTTGGTTCACATCTAGGCAGTTTCCCATGGTCACATTTGCTCAGCACAGGAGCCCATTCATTTAAATGAGCTGCTGTACCCACTGAAACTGCAGGGAAAAAAGTTACCTGCACCTTTTCTGAAAAAGGGACCTTCAGGGAAACCACATAATTCAGTGCGGTTTCCAGTGTGTGGGGTGCCATTAGGATTATTGGTACCCCCATGCATCTCCTAAACTACAGTAATACCTTGGTTTACGAATTTAATTCGTTCTGCAGGACTTTTCGTATAGCAAAAAATTTGTAAACTGAAACACCATTTCCCATAGGAATGCCAATAAATCCGTTCCGGAGGTCAGAAAAGAGTAAACGCTACTAAAATATTGCATGAGTTAGGTTATCAAGTCATGCTGTATTTTAGTAGTGACAACCATTTGTTAATGTTTCAGCTGTCAGCAGGGTTCCCCATTGACAGCTGAATGTAAAAGAATTGCCGGCAAATAAAAAAATTATTTAGAAAATGGTGTGGTGTTCCCCCTCCCATCCGTACCAAGCCCTTCGAGTCTGATATGGATTTTGAGGGGAACTCCCACGCCAAGATTTAAAAAAAAAAAAAAAAAAACCATACCAGGCCACATGCCCTCAACATAGGGGGGGTGCTTTGGGGCAGGGGAGGCTCTCCTCCCTAAAGCATCTTGTCCCCATTTTGATGGGGACAAGGGCCTCTTCCGCACAACCCTGGTCAGTGTAGTGTGAAAACGGTCTTTGACAAGTCCTTTATTAAAAGAAAAAAAATGAAAGAATGTCCCCCCGCAGTAGATCCAATGTCAATCATGATGCCTGCCGCCGACCTGAAAAAAGTAAAAACAAAAAAAAATTCAGTTCCTCACAATGGCTGCTAGCCCTGTGCCTCTGAGCTGGCTTGACAGTTCTTAAATATGTAAGGGGTGGGGCCACCTGGGGACATCACCCGAGTGACCCCCTCCCCAGGTGGCATCATTGATGTCACCTGGGGTGGGGTCACATGCGTGATGTCCCCGGGTGGCCCTTCCCCTTACATATTTAAGAACTGTCAAGCCAGGACAAGGTGCTTTTAGAGGGGGGGAGCCCCCCTGCCCCAAAGCACCCCCCCATGTTGAGGGCATGTGGCCTGGTACAGTTCAGGTGGGGGGGCTATCACTCCCCCCCCCCCCCCCCCCCTTTCCTGACCTGCCGGGCTGCATACTCGGATAAGGGTCTAGTATGGATTTTTGGGGAGACCCCCACGCCATTGTTTTTTAAAAACAGACCGGAAGAGCTTGGTATGAATGGGAGGGGGGACCCCACGCCGTTTCTTTATTATGGTGCTGTTTTTTAAATGTAATTACAGCTTTTTTTTTTTACTTCACTATAGCTCAGAAATTCAGCTGTCACTTTCCCCCCAGCTAAAAGAGAGAGAGTTTTCTTTTAGTTTATTTCCCCAAGTTAAAAGAAACAATGTTTTCATTTAGTTTTTTTAAAAGAAACTAAGTTTCCTGTAACTCCGGGGAAAGTGACAGTTAATCTTGTAAGCTATAGTGAAGAAAAAAAAAAAAAGCCGGCAATTGCATTTAAAGATCAGCACCTGCATACACTTCGTATTGCCAAAAAAAATTGTAAAAAATTTGTAAACCGAGGCATTATTGTCAATGAATTTTCATTCGTAAACCAAAAATTATGTTAACCGAGGCATTTCTTAAACCCCACTGTTGTAAACCTAGCCTAAGGGAGAACAGCAGTGTGCAAAGGCTTAATTCAGAATTTTCATAGTTAATGTGTGGTCGCACCCCTTTCTCACCTGAGGTGTTATAGG